ATTAAAGGCCGGTGCTCCCCGCCTTCATAACTCTTCCCCAAACCCACCGGCACGCCAACAGCACCGCGCGCGTCCCTGCAAGCGTCCGGCCCATCGTCACGAGGCGGTCCCCGAAAAAAAGATGAAAAGGGAGAGAGAAAAAAAAAACCACCCTCTGGCTTCCTGCCACCTACGCTCTTATAAACCCTTGTTAACAGCTGTCGCAATGAACCAGTCCAAGGGACATATTAATAACGACACGAAGAGACACATTTACTGTTGACTGCGACTGCCCGGCAGATTTATCGCCGGGTTGCTAGGAGGGAAGGCCAGGCACCGCCGTGGCACAATTAAAACCCGATTGAATACGGGGACAAAGAATCAATACTCTATCCGGCCGACTTTTACTTCTGCAAAATACAAATATAAATTAATTGACCTGAATGCAGTTGCTAACTGGTCATTCCTGCCTGCGCGCCGGCCACGCGCGGCAATCCCCCGCGGTCCTCCCGCTGCCTCCTCGATGAAGATGGGCTCAAAACCTTGCTTCTGAGCCCGAATTTCAGGCCAGGAGGGCTACCCCAGCAACGTGGCTTCGCTCCTTCCCTGCACGGCGTACGCTCTGCTGGCATGTGCAGCCAGGACCGAACGCACCTTCAGAGAGCCGCTCCCCTCCTCCCAGCGCTGAGCAAAGGACCTTTTCTTCGCCATTTTAGAAAAGTGGCTCTTCCCCGGCACGCAAGCGCGGAGACGACCAGATTTTAGCCACCAAGGAACTGCACTGCAGTGAACCGGGGACAGAGCCTGGAAGGATTTGCTTCTCTGGCCGCCACCATCAACAGAACAGCAAAGCGGCACCTACAGACGGGTTTTCTCAGCAGACCAACTTAGGCAAACCGCGGGGCTGAAGCTTCACCCGTTGAAAGAGGAATACAGAAACCTCCCAGCACGGCCCACCTGACCTGCGCCTGCGTGACCACACATCCCCAGAGCAACAACACCGCTGAAAACCGCAGACGTTGCTGTGATGGGAGCCATCCACCTTGCTCACACCAGGGGAAAACTTTTCCCAGCACAGCTAGGGATGCCTCACCACCAGAAAACCCCACCCACCCCTCGCCTCCGCCCCTCCGAACCCGGCAAGCGGGCGCATCGCGAGCCCCGCTCCAAGAACTGGGCGAGGGGAGCGGGTGCTGAGCGCTGCTGCCGGTTCCCCTGATTCCATCGGGTGCAAAGCCCTCGGGTGCTCCACCGGTGTGGACTGGATGGATGAGCACGATTAGAGAGCACACAGGATAAACAGATTAAACTCCACAGGCGGGCAGCTCGAACCCAACCCGAAAAGGGGGAGACGGAGAGGCCGCGCAAAAGGGGATGGAGGGGATGCTGCCGGTGGTCCCCCGCTCCCCTCTTCCGGGCTCCCCGGCACGCTCCCGCCGGGACCGGGCAGGAAAACCGCTTGGACGGGGGGCCGCAATCACACCCTGCCTCCTCCAAAGGAGAAGGATACACAGATACACACACATCTGCGTCGGAGGCTTCTCGGAGACGTGTTGAGGCCGAGAAATTTTTCAGATTTGCTCATTGCAAAATCAATACCCATCAGCTGTTTGAAATTAAAGGAAAGATTATGTCCTGGTTTTATACACGCTTTATTGTATTCCGAGAGCTTTCTACTCAGCTAGATAAATCTTCTTTAAGAGGATGAGGGAACTTTCATTATCTTTATCTAACCTGAACTAACACTAACTCTGAAAAATTAATCTAGAGACCGGACAAAAGCCAGTAGCCGGTGCAAAGCCACAAGGATCCGGAGGCAGCACCCACCGGGGTGCTACGGGCATCTCTGATCTGCCAGCACCCGGATCCCCTTCTCAGAGCGGCCTCAGGAACGCCGCTTTGCAACCCAACGGCATCCGCTGCGCCGACACGCTCACCTGCAAAGCCCTGGGCCAAAAGCCCTTCGCAGCGACTCTGACGGGCTCACACACAACCTGCCCTCTCTGCCCAGACCAGGGAGCTGCCCGGCGCCACTTCGCTTTCAGCTCTCCCCGAGCATCTCCAGACGCGTGCCCGAGCGCCTTACGAACGACTCCCCGACACGGCGAGCCGAGCAACGTGGTCCCGAGCAGCAGAGACGGGTCCAATTCACAGCAGGGACAGGCAAGGGGGGAAGAGGAGGAGCACACCAGCCCCAGCTTCAGTCCCCTGGAGTCCCTTGCCCCACGTCACGACGGTAGAACAGAGAGATGCTGCGACGACGCAAGCCCAACTCCTCCCCGTCATGCAGTTGTCAGCACCCAAAGCAGCTCAACCCCCAAAGCAACAAATGTTGGTCTGATCCCTACATCTCCGTCACCAAGAAGGCCTCCCAGCTCTTCGCAAACCCAGACATCCTTCCACATCAACCGGTCGCCTTGGCAATAGCAAGCGAAGGACCTACCTTGGACGATGAGATGGACGCGCGAAGTCTTGGGGTGATTGTCTGTCTGCACGGAGCAGGTGTAGGGGCCCTCATCGTAGATGTCCACGTTGTGTATCTTGATGCTGTACTGGGTCTTGGTGTTGGAGAGGATGACCACGCGGTTGTCTATAGACCACTTGTCATTGCCGGCATAGAGGATGGTGCTGCGGTTCAACCATGCTACCCGTGTGACCCGGTCATCCACGGTACACCTGAAAAGGAAGAGACAGAGGGTCACAAATGTGGGGGCACAACACACAGCGCATATCCCGGCTCCTGAAAGGGCACGCGAGCGGGACGGGACCCGCGGCGCTGGCTTCCCACCGCCCGCAGCACCCACGGCCGAGCTACGCTGTCGCCGTGTCCCGCATCCCCCCATCACCCGGGGTATCACAGAAACGGCGGGGTCCCCCCGAAAAAAACCACCG